GGCTTTTTTCTTTTTGCTTATGTGGTGCTGAGGAATCGAACCCAGGGCCTCAGGCATGCAAGGCAAGCGCTCTACCACTGAGCCACTTCCCAGCCCCCAAGACTGGCTTTGAATTGTGATGCTCAGATCCTTGTGGGTGGCTAGGATTACTGGTGTGAACCACCAGCACTGGGCTAGGGCTTCTCTCTTCTTCCCTTCAGCACATCTGGGGGGACCAGACACTCTAGAAATATCACTGCCAGTAGGCTGAATGAATGAGTGAGTGAATGAGAGATACATGACAGAGATTCACCACAGCCAAAAACTCTTAAAAAGGGAGGCACTTCTATCAGCACCTGACATTGAAAAATTCCCAGAGAATTCCATAGCGTGGTAAAAAGTGTTGCAAGGTTGAATTTGGTCTCTATTTTTACAGAAGGCAATATTTGCCAGGAAGGAGTCCCAGAAGTAATTCACTCATGGTGTTCCAGACTTGAGACGCCACTAGACCAGAGAAGGAAGGTGATAGGATACCTTCCTTCTTGGGAAGACTTTGCCATGAACACAAAAGAGAGAATGGAGGACATTCTGGCAGACAAGAGAAATGTTTGGCATCCCCGAGGTCTTTTCTCTGTAGCAGTAGACAGTGGCTCTTTATCTTTGAGCACACACTGTGTCTTGCTAATGGCTTTATGTACAGACATGGGGAACCTGGGTAGATCTGGTTTTGCTTGTAGGCTGGTTGTTTTATAAGTGTTGGGGATTGAACCCAGGTCCTCATAAATACTGGGCAAGTGCTCTATCACACTGAACTACACTCTAGCCTTTCAAGATCTGTTTTTGTTGAAAGGAAATGCATTACTCAGAAAGCTATGCCTATGTGTGCTTGAGCACATAGTAGTGACTGCTAATATGTTAAAGATTCCTTCTTCAAAGAAACCAAATGTCTTATTTTCCTAAGTATTGTCTACCATTTTCCTTTCTATTAGGATCTAATTATATGATGATTATCTGGTAACTTTTGAATTTATCACTGATCATAATAATAGCCTAACAAAGAGGTGAGCATGAGGAAATTGCATGAAGAAAATCCCGGCCAAAGCACCAGGATTGATCTACTCAGCCATCCTGTTGTATTTTCAGTGTCCAGTGGATATTGTAGGTGTAATTCTGCAGCCAAATCCTAAAACCCTTAACATAACCGAAGTCAAAGTCTCCTACAAAGAGGATCTTCATTCCGACTGCAATTACCCTTCAGATGTCAGGTAGCATCCATTAAAAATACCAGCTGGGTTGTATCGCAGTTTCGCTCTGGTTAAGGGTTCTTTCTCGAAGCCTCAGTTCGAGGCATTCCACAGTTAGAGGGTATGTGTTAAGCTCAAACTTGTTAGCAAACAGGCTTTGTGAATTAATCAGCCATTTTAAGTCTCCGTTTCCATAGATACAAATGCCATGTACATAGTGACCTGCAAAGGAGAGAAGAAAACATGGTGAAAACATGCTTGTTTTCCAAGGTCAAAGGTAGTGGGACTGGCAGAAAGTAGGAGTGATGACTGACGGAGGAGCTAGAGCGGTGCCCAATTGTTAATAAATTCAGATGATTTATACCTGGGTAGTCCTGCCTCACTGGCGCAAGCAGGGCAAGTGTGATTTGAAGAGATGGGGGCGAAACAATCCAAGGGAGTCTCTCGGCAAGAGTCAGGAGGCAACCCAGGGTCAGGGGATGAGTTATGGATGAGATGCTTTAGATGTGTACTCATGGCTTTTCTGAGTGCCTTTGTTAAGTCTTCTCCCTAAGCTCTGGTCCAATCTACCCAAGTGTCTACTTTATATCTCCACTTACATGTTTAATAAACCTCCCATGGATGTCAGAGCTGATTTTTTTGAAGATATTGTTACAATATGTAGTCCAGGCTGCCCTCAAACTCATGATCTTCCTGTCTCAGCTGCCCAAATGCTGGGATTACAGGTGTGAGTCTTCAGCCCCTGAGCACTGAATTTCTTTTTTTTTTAAACCCGATCCTAGGGCTTTAACTCAGTGCTTGGGAACCGTTCCTGAATTTCTGTGCTCAAGGTTAGCACTCTATCATTTGAGTCACAACTCCACATCCAGCTTTTAAGATAATTGATTAGAAATAAGAGTCTCCAGGCCTCCAAGCTCAAAGAAACATAGATCCCATGGTTTCCCTTATTTGCAGTAACTAGTATATGTCAGAGACAAGCAGAAAAGGTCAGATAAGTCGATGTTAGGTGAAATGAACCCCAAGATAAGTATTCAAATGTTTTTTCTTTCTTGCGATTGTTTCTAACATATTTATAAGATGATTTCTTTGTTGCTTTGTATGTCCCTCCCCCACGGTATAACCCCTGCTTTCATTGTATTTGATGTTGGTATAATTTGTGGAAGGGAAGGGCAAAAACAAACCATTCAAATAGGGATACAGGTGGACTCATTGCAACAATGAGATGTACAAGTCGTTATGTTGAAAAACAAACTTTACAACTTTGGCTGGGGGGGAAAGGAGGGGGCAGTGGGAGATGGGAAGGGATGGGAAGGGGAAACAAAGGAGGAGGCAACAATGCTTGATAAGAAAATGTACTCATTACCTTGCTGATGTAATTGTAACCCATCTGTACAGTATTTTTACAATAAAAAATAAAAATAAAAAATAATATAAAAGAGTCTCACAGGCTTTCCTGCCCAGGTTGGCTTTGAACCTTGATCCTTAGATTTCAGCCTCCAGAGTAGAATTACAGGTGTGAGCCACTAGCAACTGACTGCACTGAACTTTATCTCTCTCTCTTTCTCTCATCATGGGCTTGAACTCAGGGCCTGGACACTGCCTCTGAGCTTCTTTTGCTCAAGGCTAGCACTCTACACTTGAGCCACAGCACCACCTCAGGCCTTTTCTGTTTATGTAGCTTCATGCATGTAAGCCACATTCCCAGCCCAGCACTGAACTTCTTAATCTCCTCTCTATCAGCTGGTTCCTTTCCACATCCTCCCCCTCAGTTCATATTCTTCAGTGCCAGAAGTGCTTCACAGCCCACCTCCAGCAACAATCTGTCTGCTCAGCCTTCAAAACAGTAACAGAATTCAACCACCTCTCACCACCATCATTGACAGCACTGAGGTCCCATGCACCTCCATCTTCCTGTTTGAACTGCAGTAATGAGTGCGCTCCTCAACTTAACCCCTTTCCTGGTCAATATTCCATCACTTAGTACAATAAACAGAGATATTCTTCTACTTTTTTTTTTTTTGCCAATCCTGGGGCTTGAACTCAGGGCCTGGGCACTGTCCCTGAGCCTTTCTGTGCTCAAGGTTAGCACTCTACCACTTGAACCACAGCACCACTTCTGTTTCTTTCTCTTTATGTGGTGCTGAGGAATCAAACCCAGGGCTTCGTGCATGCAAGACAAGCAGTCTATCATAGTCACATTCCCAGTCCTCTTCTACAATGTTAAATGGGTCATTTGCCTCCTCTCAGTTCTAATAACGGTGTCACTCCTGCACAAGGAACTTGCTCCCCTGGGAATCGCCATGCACTCCTACTCCCCGAGAGCCCGCCCTCAATACACATAAACAGCCTCCTGCCACTCAGCCTCAGGTAGGAGAAGCTGAAGCCTTCCCTGATTGCTTCTCCCTCTTCCTCACTCATTTCTCTTTTAGTCCTTATTACCCCTTCCCCCAACACACATGTATATGCATCTGATGTATCTGACATACATGTATATCTATATACATATATATTGGTATCTGAGATTTATCACATAGAAATAGATATATGTAAAAATTGACAAAACTATGTATCCGATATGTATGTGATATATATATATATATATATATATATATATATATAAATGTTTTTATGCTTGGTATATAACTTCACATAAGCCTATATAAAACTGACATATTCATCACATATATAAATACTTTACATGTATCAGTGCCAAGAAGGAAAATAGTACTGTTTATTTTCTCTCTTTCCAGATATCATTTTTGTCTTGCTCCTCAGGCTGAGCTATAAGCTCAGAACATTTTGTTCATGTCTGCATCTAGACAAATGATGGTAACTATGAGATGTTAAATTAATAGTTGCTGGATAAAAGGATGGGGAGAATGAGTGGAGACTTGCAGAGTTGATGGACAGTGGTTTCAGAAAGATCCAAGGACAATTTCTGGAATGGTTGTGGTGGTGAGATTTTTCTACTAGAGTCAGGAATTCTGTTGGGAATGGGTTAGAAAGAAGAATAGAAGGAAATTGGAACTATTTTATTTGGCATGCAACTGAGCAGTAATTGGTAAACTGATATAGAGGAAAGGGTTTATTAGGTCTTTTATCCTGGAAATATGCAGTATCCTTGAAGATTTTTGAATCCATGCAATATTACTGCATGCTGTTAGAAGCTGACTTGTGTACCCCTCCAAATTCATATGGTGACTTTTCATGTTCTCTACCTGAGTAGAGACATGATCTTTAAAGAGGTAAATTAAAATAACATCATTAAGGACTTTGTCCTTAAAAGAAAATGAGAGCTGGGTGCTGGTGGCTCACGCCTGTAATCCTAGCTATTCAGGGGGCTGAGATCTGAGGATCTCAGTTCAAAGCCAGCCCGGACAGGAGAGTCCATGAGACTCTTATCTCTAATAAACCACTAGAAAACCAGAAGCAGCACTGTAGCTTAAGTGGTAGAGCACTGGCCTTGAGCTGAAGAGCCCAGGGACAGTGCCCAAGCCCACAGTTCAAGCCCTATGACTGACAAAAAAAAAGAAAAAGAAAATGATATGAAACCGGGTGCTGGTGGCTTAAGCCTATAATCCTAGTTACTCAGGAGGCTGAGATCAAGTAGATCATGAATTGAAGTCAGTTGGGGCAGGAAAGTCTGTGAGGCTCTTATCTCCAATTAACCAGCAAAAAAGACAAAAGTAGAACTGTGGTTCAAGTGGTAGAGTGGTAGCCTGGAGCAAAAAGCAATACTCAGGGATACTTCCCAAGCCTTGAGTTCAAGCCCAAAGCTACCAGCCCCTAAAAGAAGAAGAGGGAAGAAGAAGAAGAAAGGAGAAGGAGGAAAAGGAGGAGGGGGGGGGAGAAAAAGAAATTAGAACATAGACACGTAATGAAAGACCGTGTGGAGATACAAAGAAGGAAGAGGTGGTCATTCATTAGCCAAAGGAGAAGATCTGCTGACACTTGATCTTCCAGACCCCCAAAGCTTCAAGAAAATTAACTTCTGTTGTGTAAGCTGACCAATCTATGCTATGTTGTTATAGCAGCTTCAGCTAACACACACACACACACACACACACACACACACACACACACACACACACACACACGTACCAGGCAGTACTCTGAGTGAAGCAATTGCCAGGACTGATAAGATTCTATTTGTAGGATAACCTTTTTCCTTAATGTCCCTTGTGCCAGAGCAGTGACAAACACCTATAACTCTCCAAGCTCCTTAAAAGCCTGTGGAGGAGCAGAAGGGCCATGGTGTTCCTGTGAAGAACATGACATCACCTCTTCTAATAGTAATAGCTACAATCACAAAAAGAGTCCTAAGAGGAAGGAACTACCCAGAAAGCTGGGACTAGCAAGAAAGTATTACAGTAATCTGAAGTTACTTTTCCAACCTAGAGAGGTAAGGGTGGAGAATGTCTGATGAAGGCTTATTTTCAAGAGTCTAGGTGTTGAAGTCTCTGGCTTCTCTGTGTAGCAATGAGCAGATTGGTCTCCCCATCCCTACAATTCTGAACTCCAGTATTTGTTGCACATCTCCCCCCAGCCCTCCCAGCAGGTTGATCTAAGAGCTGGTCTCACCATGGCAGCCTCCGTGTTTACTCTCCATGTCCATCCATTTCACAGCTCTAAGGTTGCCAGTCCAGGATGCATTGGGCATGGAGCCTGGGACTCCTGCAATGTGGATAAAGGAGCAAAGTGAGAACCAGGGAACAAAGCCATCAATTTCTTCCACTCAGCCTCCCATTCATGCTTCTTTTTCATTCTCTCGACTGTTTTTCACACCTCACAGGATTGCTGTGTGCTGATGTGAGCAGTGGGTCAATGGCTGTACCACTGTGGTTTGAAGGTGGGATAGAGGCCACCAGTCAGGTATGTGGGCAGATCCCGTACCTTTACAAAGGACAGGGAAATGGTACCCTGAGCCCACAGGGGGAACATGACCCCATCAGTGCAGCCACTTCTGCCTGGAGAGACCAGGATCAAACCTCTGACCTCAAAACGGTGAGGCAAACACATTTAAGTTATTTAACTTGCTATGTTTGTGGTCATTGCATACAGTAGCAAGCAGAAAATAAATTTACATACTAACATGAGAAAAGGTACTTGAAAAGATGGATTTTTTTTCCATAAGAAAAAAAATCAGACTAAGTTAATTTTTCGTTGTTGTTGTTAGTTGTGGGGCTTGAACTCTGGGCTTGAGTGTTGTCCCTGTGCTCTTCAGCTCAAGGCAAGTGCTCTACTGCTTCAGCCATGGCGTCACTTCCGGTTTTCTAGTGGTTTATTAGAGCTAAGAGTCTCACAGCCTTTTCTGCCCTGGCTGGCTTTGAACTGTGATCCTCAGATCTCAGCCTCCTGAGAGAGGATTACAGGCGTGAACTACCGGTGTCCGGCCTCAAATGTTTTTTTTTAATTTAATTTTCTGCCAATCTCTGGAGCCTGAATTCAGGACCTTGAGCCACAGAGCCACTTCCGGCTTTTTCTGTTTATGTGGTACTGAGCAATGGAACCAAGGGCTTCCTGCATGCTAGGCAAACACTCTACCACTAAGTCACTTACCCAGTCCTAGGCCAGTTTTTTATTAGCATACATTAGCTAAACATTTCTACACATGTAGATAATGTATTCCGATCAATTCCCATTCCTATCGCTGTCCCTTACACCCTCCTCCTCCTTCAGGTCAGAAAAAAACACAATAAGATAGGGCTTTTAAATTTTAATAACTTTTCCTTTTTAAAAACATTAGCAAAAACAAGTACATTTCAAAAGAAATACAGCTGTGTATTTCATGTGACAGCAGCTGCCCTGAGTCACGTGTTAATTATAGGATGATCTAAATATAGAATTGGATTCACGTCTCCCAACTAAAGTTATATTTTCAATCTCCAGTCTTTCCTGTAAATCACTGTGTCTTTAACCATTAGGGTTCTCTCTAAGGCAAGGGTTTGTTTTCTGGTTGCTTTATTGCTCATATTTTAAAGCATTCTAGAATACTATTCAACAAAAACACTTGAAGAAGTACTAGTTCTTATTGCTTCATTTAAATACTTAAAAACTTTAATCTGGTCACTAGTAGCTCACCCCTGCAATCCTAGCTAGATCAGAGAACTGTAGTTTCAAGCCAGACCAAGCAGTAAAGTCTCTGAGACCCTTCTTTCCAATGAACCAGCAAAAAGCTGGAAGTGCAGTGGTAGCTCAAGTGGTAGCGCATGAGCCTTGACCAAAAGAAACCAAAGCACAGCACCTAAGCCCTTAGTTCAAGCCCCATAGTGGTGTTTAAAAAAAATAGCACTTGCTTGTTCTAAAAGAAGCCCTTGGTTTTGTTTGCGCCACAAACTTTTAAAGAATATAGATTAAAACTTGCCTTAGATAAGGCAAGCGTGTGGAGAGGGGAATCTGCAACGAAGACAGAGAATTTGGTTTATTTTATTTATGTCAGCAAGACTAGCTGACTTGGGTGAGGTTCTTAACTCTATTTAGATTAAATAATAACTACATCAGAAATGTGTGAATGAAACATTCCCCAAAGTATCTCCTCACCTATAAGTGACTACATTTCTTTAAAGCCCCCCCCCTTGTTCTTATTTATATTATCACAAACTGACTTGCTCAGGAACACAATGCTGTTATTCCAGAGATAAGATCATTACATTTATAATTAATGACTCACTGTCTTTTGAATACACACATTCTCCTAGTAACCTCCTGCTAATGAAATTCCATACCTCAACTTCCATAGTTAGATGACAGGTCTCAGACATGTCTAGATACTAACATGTGAATATTAAATGTTATGTTTGAATATTATCCACGTCTAAATTAAATTTAATTAAAATTTAATTAACGTGAAAGAGGATGGGCACTGATGCCTCATGCCTGTAATCCTAGCTACTCAGGAGGCTGACATCTGAGGATTGTGGTTTGAAGCGAGCCTGGGCAAGAAAGTCTATGAGACCCTTATCTCTAATACACCATTCAGAAAAAAATGGAAGTGGTGCTGTGGCTCCAGTAGTAGAGCACCAACCTTGAGAAAAAGAAGCTTGGCGATAGCACTCAGGCCCTGAGTTCAAACCCGACGACTAGCACACAAAAAAAAGGAAAAAAAGGGGGCTGGGAAGGTAGCTCAGCGGTAGAGTGCATGCCTTGCAAGCATGAGGCCCTGGGTTCGATTCCTCAGCACCACATAAACAGAAAAAGCCGGAAGTGGTGCTGTAGCTCCAGTGGTAGAGCGCCAGCCTTGAGCTGAAGAGCTGAGGGGCAGCGCCCAGACCCAGAGTTCAGGCCCCATGACCGGCAAAAAAAAAAAAAAAAAGAAAGTGGAAGGAGAGAAAGGATAAACATTGAACTTTTTTTTTCTTTTTTTGGTGTACATCTTAGAGCTTGAGGTCATAGCCTTGCACTTAAGATTTTTTTTTTTTTGCTAGAGGTTGGTGCTCTAGCAGTTAACCCATGCTTCTACTTCTGGCTTTTTGCTGAGTAATTGATCAAAGTCTCAGGCTTTCCTGCCCAGGCTGACTTTAAACTGTAATACTGAGATCCCAGGCACCTGAGTAGTACAGGAATGAATGCCAATCCCTGAGCCTTCTACTGAGGGTCAAACCCCGCCTTGTTGCAAGTGCTGCAAGCGCTCTGCCACTGGAGCCATACCCCAGACTTCTTTCTTTTCAAAGAATTCTGACACTCTGAGCTCTGGCAGGAATAGGTATAGACCCAGCTGTCCTGGGGCTTCTAGAACTGGGAGCACCAATCCGTGTCACGTGGGAGCTGGTGGCAAATGCCTTACCCTGGGCTCTATCCCAGACCTGTGGCACCACAACTCATATCTCCACAGTCTCTCCTCTCCTTGACATTCTTTTTTTTTTTTTTTTGGTCGGTCGTGGGGCCTGAACTCTGGGCCTCAGCTCTTCAGCTCAAGGCCAGTGCTCTACCACTTGAACCACAGCACCATTCTTCTGCTTATGTGGTTCTAAGGAATCGAACCCAGGGTCTCATGCATGCAAGGCAAGCATTCTACCACTGAGCCACTTCCCAGCCCTCCTTGAGATTCTTAATGTGGTGGTTTTACATCATTTGGTTACCATGTTCCCACTGCTGGGAACATATGCTTCCTTCCTTCCTCCCTCCCTCCCTCCCTCTTGCCCTTCTAACCTTCCTCCCTTCCTCCCTCCTTTCCTCCCCCTCTCTTTCCTTCTTTCCTTCCTAGCTTTTCTCTTTCTTTCTTCCTTTCTTCTTTCTTCTTTTCTTTCCTTCTTTCTTTATTTCTTTTCTTCTTTCTTTCCTTCTTATGCTAGGTAAATGTTCTATCACTGAGCAACACCCCGAGCCCTGAATTTTAATAGCTCTCTTACTCTACCTCTGGAAGACAGCCCACCCACTGCTGCGGAGAGAAGCTGTACAGCTCCCACTGAGCTGATGTTCTTGGCTTCTCATAGTACCCCGTTGTCACAGCACTTGGGTGCCCAGAAGTGTAGAAGAAATGACCCAGAGCAGATGACCCATTCACTGCCTCCACAGATGATGGTGAGGCCTGTGTAGCTTGTCTGTATCAGACAGGCCTGCCCTGCTTTTCCAATAGACCATAGTAACCTAAGGTGACTGTATTTCTACTCCTCAATCTTGGGACACATTTCTTTTATATATACATATACATACATACATACATACATACCTATAGGAAGCCAACCCAAAAGTACAATATGCCCATAAACAATTTATTTGGACTTAGGTTAAAAGATACAAACAGCAAGATTCCACCCACTCACTCCATTTCTTGCTTTAACATCCAGTTGCTCCTTCTACTCACTGAGCCTTTTCTCACTTTAAATCTCTTTCATCCTTTTCTCTGAGACTGACCTCAATCCAATGCCTCTGAAAGAACAGATGCTGACCTAGGAATTCTGGCACTTAACTCCTCTGAGCTGTGTCATTAGCCAGCTGGGCATCCCCAACTCTCACCGCGTCAATGGTGTCCGTAGATTAGATCAGCGGTTTTCAATTTGGAGTGCAAACCACGGGAAAAACATGACATCATCACCTGTCTTTCCCACATGCATAGATAGCAAAGAGAGGTTTCACAAAGCCATACTTAGGCTTATTACATGAGATGAGCTTGTTTTATGCTCCTGTCTAGTTTGGTTTCATTAAAAAAAAAAAAATTCTGGCCCCAAGCTGCCAAAATGATTTCAGTATCCTCTCCTAGGATATAACTCTTACTTGAAAAATATTGGGCTTGATCTTGCTAGTGTGTGTGTGTGTATGCATATGCGCACCTGTGCGCGCATGCCAGACCAGGGCTTGAACTCAGCCTGGGCACTGGCCCTTAGCTTTTGTCCTCAGGTGAGTGCTCTACCACTTGCATCATAGCTCCACTTTCAGCTTTTTGGTGGTTAATTGGAGTTAAGAAGCTCATGGACTTTCCCGCTCAGGCTTTGAGCCATGATCCTCAGATCTCATCCTCCTGAGTAGTTTGGATTTTCCAGGTACCACCAGCACCTGGCTTGTTCTTGCAATCATGACTACTATTATTCTTTTCTTTTCTTTTTCTCTTTTTCTGGCAGTCACTGGGGTTTGGATTCAGGGTCTTGAACTTGCTAAGCAAATCCCCTACCACATAAGCCATATCTGCCTTTTATCTTTCATTATTTTTTGAGTATTGTTTATATCTGGGGTCAGCC